TAACGGTTGGTTTGAGGTATATTGTGCATATCTCGATTTTTGCTTAGAATTGAAGGAAGAATTGAAATATGCAATAATATACAGGGGGTTCTATTTAAAAAAAAATGATACTTTGATGTGCCACGACTTTATGACCAACCCTGTATTATTATTGTTGCATAAGTTGGCAATATTTGGGCGGTTGTTGTTTTCCCGATCTACCTACGATCATCCCTTTAGTTTTGTTGTAATTGCTGCGGAGACGAACTCTCTACTGGTACTCTCTAATCTTGTTATATTTTTTTCCAGTTCTGGCTGGTTTGCGGTTACAAATACTGTGTCATCAGCAAAACGTAGATTTGATATTCTGTAGCCATTCAGTGATACACCGCCTGCCCATTCCCCCAGTACAATCCTCATAACGTATTGGCTGTAAATGATAAACAGCATTGGGGACAGTACGCAGCCCTAACGTAGTATTTTTCTTATCTGGCATATCCTATACAAACATATACAAAATCTCGTTTTTTAATCTGAAAAAATAAAAAAGTATAGGAGTGAGTTTTTGAAAAACACCTGGTATTATAAGAGTTGTAGTATAAAATATACAGTGATAAACTGAAAGCTGATTAAAACTGAAAATACAATTTTAGAGATTATTGTTAAAATTTGAAATCGATATTCGAACCCAGTACCGCTGGCACATCAGCACAGATACTATAATTTTATTCATATTTGTTCCACTTATTTTATTAATCGAATTCATTCAAAGAAAACACTTACTATTCAAATAATAAGAAATAAAGTACGCCCAAAAGATACGAAATGAATTAAATTGATGCCGACTGTATTACAAAACCGAATTAAAGAACCGTTTTATCCAAAATGGAACTGGCAATATTTTAAAATATACGAATTTTGTCGAACGAATTCCGTCTACATTTTCTTTTCTCGCATGCGAACGATAGTTATTGAGTGCAGCAATGCATTTCTTTTGAAAAATATGAATTAGTTCAAGTGGCGGTCGGTACGAGCACGAAGAGTTTCGAAAAACTATTATTTATCTGGTCCGCGGAGAAGATAGGTATGTTGATTGATTTTTATAAATAAACTTGAAATTTAGTTACTAGGCGATTTGATATGATATTTTATTTTTATTTACTTACTTCTTGGTCTCTGTAATCTATACTAATATATAAAATCCTTAAGTGACTGACATACTGATTAATCACGATCCTGCTCAAACCACTCAACGTAAGAAGCTCAATTTTGGCATACAGGTTGATTCTAGGGTATAGAGGTTCGATAAGAAAGGATTTTTCGAAATTCCAGTTCCAAGAGGGTGAAACCACCCCTCAAATATTACAATGTTTTTTATTTAAAAAACGGTCAAGTTTCCGAAAAAACGCTTAAACACGTATATTTTATTTTGTTTTTCTACATATTTTAAGATTTTTAAAAATGTATACAGGGTGTTTCGAAAAATCTGGTCATTGATTAATCGCGATCCTGCTTAAAGTGCTTGACGTAAAAAGCTGATTTTTGGAAAACAGATTGACTTTAGGGTGTAGAGGTTCGATAAGAAGGGATTTTTCGAAACTCGAATTCTAAGGGGGTGAAACTATCCCTCAAATATTAAAATATTTTTTATTTAAAAACCGGTGAGTTTTTCGGAAAAAAAACTCTTAAACACGTATATTTTATTTTGTTGTTTTACACATTTTAAGATTTTTTATAAATTTATACAGGGTGTTTCATAAAATATGACCATTGAGTAATCACTATTCTGCTTAAACTGCTTGACGTTTAAAGCTGATTTTTGGCAAACGGATTGACTGTGGGGTGTAGAGGTTCGATAAGGAGGGGTTTCTCGAATCTCAAATTCCAAGAGGGCGAAAACGCCCCTCAAATATTAATAATAATAATAATAATAATAACGTTTATTAAACATTTTCTCTTGAAATTAAAACAGATACAAAATAGGCGAGTACAATACAACATAATATGCTACTATATATCTAATACACATTATCTAAGTACAATTTAACTAAGACTAAATTTAAATTTTAAGAATCGAAATAAACGTTAAAAGAATTACCACAAAGTAATAGAATTACTTGTATGTGGAAAGGAATACAATTTAATTATGACAATATTTAATGTTTACTGGCACTTATGAAAATTTATTTTGTATATTTTAAGTTAACTAGGTCATTAAATATATCTCTACCTCGATCAACTATCCATTTGCATACCCCTTTTTTAAACCCAGAGTAACTTTTAACATCCTTTAGGAAGGTTGGTAAGATGTTATATAATCGAGGTGCAAAAAACTTTGAAGATCTTTGTCCAACAGTTTTAGAGCATAAACTAGGATAAAACGCCTTATGTCTAGTTTCATATTCATGGTCAACATGTTCAATAGATATTTTCCCCTGATAAATGAATTTTAAAACATCTAGGCAGTATAGCTGACGTATATCCAGTAGATGCGCCTGCTTAAAGAGAACGTTTGAAGAGAAAGTTTTCTTTTTATTGTAAATAATTTTTATGAACCATTTTTGAACAGAATACAAGCTCTTTAAATGACATTCAGCCGCACCACCCCACCCTAGAATTCCATATGTCAAATGAGATTGTACAAGGGACGAGTACAGGATTCTAAGTTGTTTGACGTCCAAAAAACTTTTCAAATAATTAAATTTCGGCAACAATCCTCGCAATTTTTTAGTTACATTATTAATATGAATATTCCATTTAAGATGTTTGTCGATTGTAACGCCTAAATATTTTATAAAATCACATTCCGGTATTACATTATTATTGGTTATTTGTAGTCTGTCCCAATCTGGTTCATTATTTTTATAAATAGAGAAGGATATAAATTTGGTTTTGTCATAGTTTAATGTTAATTTGTTTTTGACAAACCAGGTATTAATTGTCTGAAAGTCTTCCTCTGCTAATCTTTTCAAATTTCAAAAATTACTATTAATAATGGTTATAAAAAGCTGCTAATGTAGTGCTGCTAATAACCTTTGGCATGGTAAACTACTGTTTGACCAGCGGATCTGAAGCTACGGAAGGAATGCGAGAAAAAAAAATCGATATTGCCACGTTTATCTATAAAATTGCAAAATTGCCAGACATGAACTATAAATGTAATATATTTTTATTATATATAATGTGTTTAGCATATATTCTGACGTATATTACTAAGGAATTTTAACGTAGTTCGATATGTTTTATTTAATAACATATTTCTTTCATTCTGTATAATCTGCTTATTATGAAAGTTGAGATTTTTCAACGATATAATTGGCAAACCGGCATCGCCGCGCATGGCCGCCTATTCATCGAACATGATTGGCGAAGTACGTCACAGGATTTTTTACCACGCGGTTGCCATGGCTTTTACGCCTTTCCTATTCGCTTGCTTTATCCCCAACTTCACGGTCTCTTCTGGAAAGAGTAGGAATATTGAATACTATTGAAATATCCAGTGGCGGTGTCATTTTTTTGATCATTATTACTTTATTTCATTATTTTATACCGGTTATCCTAAACTTTATTCCTATATTTTTCGTATATTTGATAGTTAGGTTGTGTTTTATTGTTTTGTTATCTTGTTATAATGTTTTTCGTTCGTAGTTTTTAATTATTAATATCAAGTTTGATCGTATATTTGTGTTTTAAAATGAATAAATTTGTTAAGGGTAAGAGGCTACATAGCCAGACAAGAGAAATAATAGGTAAGTTAATAATAACGTGGATGAAATCTCATTTGATTTATTTCCTTGTGTTCATAATAGGGTTTGCGATGAAGAAGCTACAGAGAGTTCGCATAAGTTGCCGCTTAAACGTAAACTTGAGCGAATATTTCTTTATACCGGAGTTAGCGTATCGGCTATAAAAAAATTCACACAGAAGATAAAAAGAAGGCTGAAAACTAACCCCGATAAAATGATATCCAGCTCTGGAAAGAAACGACCACGTGAGACTGCTGTCGAAAAGCTCTACGACTTTTTCGAAGTGGTCAGGAATTTGATAAATAAATTTTATCTCGAATTCAAACTCGTCCCCACAATTAGAAAGCTTTTGCAAAAATTGCCGGAAGAATCGAATTTTCCTTTTGCAGGGAAACGCTTAGGGGGTTATTAAAATCAAATGAATTTTTTTGACGGGGGAGATATAATTAATTATAAATATTGCAGAGAGAGATATAAATATATACGCGAAATTCGAAAATATAGCCAAGGAGCGAAACCATATCTGGTGTAATAGGCAATATTGGATCTACTGGTGAGTAAAATTATGTTTTGTTTGCGCTTCCAAAGTTAACTATTTTCAAGATTTTTTTTTGCTGGAAATAGTTATATCTAAAATTATGTATTTTAGAAAAAAATATAGTTAGTACCGATATAAATAAATATACCTCAAGACTCAGTCTTGATCATCTGGTGATGGCAGACATGGTTAGCGAAACGTGCGTCCAGTGTAAAATTAAAAGTGTTTTGGTGTATTGTACTGATTTAGTGTTTTATTTTGCTGTGTAACACCAAAGGTTCCAATCCCCAGCTGTAATTATTTCTTCTATTATATTAACAACACAATAATAAAATGATTCAAAATATTTAAGGGAGCTTTAATAAAAGCTTTTAGTGTTTATCTGCTAACTCAACAGTAACGATTCAAACAGCATAAAGTTTTTTGAAAAAAATTATTAATCTGAGTATTATATTTATGATACACATTATTTTCATATAACACCGTACGCCCATGCCTATTTTATGAATGAAATTGGGCGTGTTTTGTTTACAACTGCGTTCCCCTGCCGATACCCCGTAGCTACAGATCCGTTGGTCACACTACAGTACTGTACTTCTACGCTACCAGGTACATTTGATAAATATATGTGGTTTTGAACAATTATTATTCCTTTTATAATAACTTATGTTGTTGGAAATAAGCCCACGTTTAAAATAACTTAATAATTTTAAAGTAATTAATGTTTTAATTTGCAGAATTGCCAGAGAGGCCTCCGGAAATAAGCGTGGGGCGCGAACCCTTGGACTACGGCGACGTTTTACGCGCCAACTGCACCTCCTACCCAGCCAGGCCCCCTGCTCATCTAAAGTTTCTATTAAATAACATTACGGTAATATGCCCTCAAGCGTTTTATATATTATATTAGTAGTGGAGTGCTTTAAGCCCTTATGAGATACAAACCTCGGAATTCATTTACTGTGAACGAATTTTTATAAAACTTTTTGCATTGTATTGTTAATAAGATATATTACAAAGTTTACCCATTTAAATTCGTTGTTTTCACTTTGGTATTTAAATAAGCACACACATACAGGGTTGTTCACCACATACGACACGGAGTATTGTAGCTAAACGATTAGATTTTTACAAATTGTAAGTTTTGGGTTCGATGAAGGACTATTAGAGGTACAATTTAAAAATAATTTTACAAGATACAGAGTGTCCCAAATAAGTAAAAAATATCAAAGTTGTATTTTTTTAAATGGAACACCCTGTATATTATTACATTTTTAGTTTCTACGATTAAAATAAAGGTAAATTTGATTAAGATTTATTATACTTAAAGCTTACCGTTTTTTAAATATTTTCAATTTTGTGAAATTGCAGTTAAAATTTTAAGGCTTCATTTCTCCAAGGGTATCAAAGTTTTTAATACTAAATATTTACTGAAGTTTATTTACTGATCAGTTATTGTGTTGCAATAATAAAAATAATACTACCTTATACAGAGTGTCTAAAAATTTATTTTATATAATTATTAGCTTCAAACGGCAATAACTTGTTTAATTTAAATGGAACACCCTGTATATTTTACAAGAATCAGATGCACAATTTAATTGTCTATCAAATTATATTATACCATTTTTTACCTATCTCTTTAAGATTCCGTAGAAAATGCATTTTCTTGTAATTTAGAACTTATTTATCAATATACCCATGGACTATTTGAGATTATATTATTATTATATTATTGACATTTTAGATTATTTTTAAAGATGAACCAAATTTTTAAAGAGTACAGATACTAATATTGTCGATATAATTCGTTTATTTCATTAAAAAATAAAAAAAAAACTGTTTAAATATTTGTTAAAGAGGACCAATTAATATGATTCCAGTATTCAAACTACATTAACTGACTGTTTGCGTTGATTAATAATAATTGCTCCAAATACTAAAACACTGAATTTTGTATGGGCATTAGACAGTGTGATAAAAAGTAACACCTTAAAAATGATATTTCGTTTTTTAATAAATGCTTATTTATAACAACAGAGACTTTAATTTGATAACTTATTATTATATTGATTTCTGACTCAAATCCACATTTATTTATAATAATTTATTAACGAACACAATTAAGTATGTAAGTAATTAGTATATGGGCAGAAATAATGGTGTTATATTTAATTAATGGTATACTCTTTTATAAAGATTTAAATTGTTTTCTTTTTGCATACAAATGGGCTAGTAATATTATCGTTTTGCTAAAAACGATAATATTACTAGTCTGTACATTTTGTACATTTGTTGCTTTAAAAACAATCAAAAATGTCAATATTCCATGGATATATTGATAAATGAGGTCTAAATTATAAGAAAATGCATTTTCTACGAAAACTTGAAGGGATAGGTAAAAATGGTATAATACAATTTGATAGACAATTTAATTGTGCATCTGATTCTCCTAAAATATACAGGGCATTCTATTTAAATTAAAGAAGTTATTGCCGTTTGAAGCTAATAATTATTTAAAATAAATTTTTAGACACTCTGTATAAGGTAGTATTATTTTTATTATTGCAACACAATAACTGATCAATAAATAAACTTCATTAAATATTTAGTGTTAAAAACTTTGATACCCTGGGCGAAATGAAGCCTTAAAATTTTGACTGCAATTTCACAAAATTGAAAATATTTCAAAAACGGTAAGGTTTAAGTGTAATAAACCTTTATCATATTTACCTTTATTTTAGTCGTAGAAACTAAAACTGTAATAATATACAGGGTGTTCCATTTAAAAAAATACAACTTTGATATTTTTTATTTATTTGGGACACTCTGTATCTTGTAAAAATATTTTTAAATTGTAGCTCCAATAGTCCTTCAACGAACCCAAAACTTACAATTTGTAAAAATCTAATCGTTTAGCTACAATCCTCCGTGTCGTATGTGGTGAACAACCCTGTATACAGGATGGTCCGAACTGTATTCCGGAAACTTAAGCAGCATATTCTGCAGATAAAAATAAGTAAAAAGTTTATTATAAATGTATGTCCTAAAACACTTTTTTCGGAGATACAGGGTGTAGAAGTTCTATTTTTATTTCGATTTATACAGAAAATAGTTTTTCTTTAGTTGTGTTACTCATTATTACTCACCACTCATTACTCGTTATTCATTACAAATTATACTTTGCACGTATAAAACCAAAAGTTGTAGTCATTTCCGGTAAAACAGAAAGTGACCGAAAACAATTGAATACGTCAATCAATCCTAATTTATGTCATATACTAACATACCAAATCTCGTTTTTTTTATCTGCTAAAATAAAAAATTATAGGGGTGAGCTGATTTTAAGACGCACCCGGACGGACATCTTATTAAATCTTCAAATAGAAACACAGATAAATACGTCCTAGAAACTTTACAGTCAAGCACAATCGAAATCTTCAAATAAAAAGACAGATGCAAATTACTTAGCCTCTAGGAATAAATTAAAGTCGCTCACTAACCAATTAAATTGCTTTCTATGTCTCCATCGCCCCTTCCCTCTCTTTCTTTCTCACACTTCTTCTTTCTGTAAAATTCGGGCTTGATCTCATTAGTTTAGGGATCGTGAGGAGAGCAACGAGACGAAGATCGTGAAAGAAAAGACGAGCCACTAAAAAACAAATTAGGGCAATGGCAAGCGAACAAGTTGGAGACAAATAGTCATTGCCCAACTACGTAATTTAAGTAAAAAATAGATAAGTAATAGAGATACAGGATTGATATTGACAAATGTAATAAACTAGATGCTGAAGAGGATAAAAAAATATTAAAAAAAAATAAGTCGTATTTATAATATTGTTTTAATACTTTTAAAACTAAAATATGTAAAGAAATGTTAAGAGAAAATGGAAAAATTGAAGAAAAATTCCATATAAAAGCCGCATCAATAACTATATTGTGTACAAGGTGTCTCATTTTCTCCGAACTAACTGATTTTGCATTTCTCAACCCCTTTTATATCTCAGTTGTCTTATAACTTATCGAAAAGGTGAAAACTGAATCCTATACCGGGTGCGTCTCAAAAGTGGCTCACCTCCATAACTTTTTAAACGGTTTTATTTAGCTCGACCCGTACGGTATTTATTTATTTGTTTGTTTATTTGGGTCAAAATTAGAAATTGAAATTTAAGTACCTTCCTGTTGTCAGATTGATCTGAAATTTGGTACACACCTTTAGTTCCGATGACAATACAATATAGTATTATCAATAACATTGTAAATCTAAGATGGCCGCCGGTACAAAATGGCGGATTTCATATTTTTCCACAACCCCCTAAATATGGGTATCAAATGAAAGGGCTACACTAGTAGAATACTGTGATTATGACAAAATTTAAAATCCAAGATGGACGTCGTTACAAAATGGCGTATTAGGTGAGGGCATGAGTAGTCGTGTCCAGAACAGTTGTGTCCAAGATTGTGTGACGTTAGAAGGACAGATAAAAAAAATAGGTGATTAGATGTACCTACGTAGTTAGCGGTAGCTTTACCACCCAAGTTAAGGTAATAGGTTAAAACGTGCTGAGGACTGTATGACATTAGGGTGGCTAAAAATGTAATGTCGCAAGCGTTTTCCCCTCAAGATTGGGCGCCTCTTGTTGTATATTATAGCCTTGCCCCTCTACTGGACCGCTGGGGGGGTCGACCGTTAAAATGTCCATTACTCGTGGGAACAACATGGAAACAATAAATAAAAAAATAAACAAAAATAAAAACGAAACTGCTACACAACGAAAAAGAAGGCTCGAAAAGGCGAAAGAAAAGTATAGAACGAAACGTGCAAAAGAAAGTGAAAATGAAACCTATAGTCGACTACAGAAACGAAGAGAACGGTTAGCAACAGAAACACCTGAGCAACATGATGCCAGGTTAATAGCACAACGTGAGAGACAAAGGCAGCTGGTAGAGTCAGAAACATGAGTCCAGGCTAGCATCACAACGTGACAGACAGAGAGAGTTGTTAGCGGCAGAAACACCTGAGCGTCATGAGTCTAGGCTGGCATCACAACGAGAGAGACAAAGAGAGCTGTTAGCGTCAGAAACACCTGAGCGTCATGAGTCTAGGCTAGCATCAGAACGCGACAGACAGAGAGAGTTGTTAGCGTCAGAAACACCTGAGCGTCAGATTGTAATAAATTATCAGGTAAAAAACCATGTAATAATGATGCACTAAATAAATTAAATAGAATGAGGAATATTCGGTAGGCATTTCCGTTAAATACTAAAAAATAGAAAATAAAAAATCGGTAAATTTTTTTTTAAGTTGAACGGTTTTATCTTATGTGCACTGAAAACTAGAAAATAATAATAACAATTAGGTATTTTGAACTTCTAGTTCAGAAATATTTTAGTACTAGGCAGAATAGCTTTTAGGCATATTAGACTAAAATAAAAACGTGGGGCCCATTAACTATTGCTGTAATACTTTCTTCTATACTAAGTGTGGATTGCATCGACTTACTATAATCGTAACTGGAGATTTTGACAATCAATAACCAGCCGTGCCGGCTTCACCAGCGAACGCCGAGCTCATGATCTACCAAAGTATAAAGATATGCTTTGCCATAGGTAGGATTTCAGAGGTGCCCCACGTTTTTATTTTAGTCTAATATGCCTAAAAGCTATTCTGCCTAGTACTAAAATATTTCTGAACTAGAAGTTCAAAATACCTAATTGTTATTATTATTTTCTAGGTTTCAGTGCACATAATGGTAGTAAACAAAAATTTAATAATAGACAAGGTATCCATTTATAAGATACAGTTTTAATAAATTGTTATTTATTTGAAACACTATACCTTTTAACACTAACCTTTAAGAAATATTAGATTGA